AGTCTTGTTGCCCAACATATAACCAGTCTCTCAGGCCTATAAATGCTGAGTGAATGAATAAAGGCTACAGGCAAATATGAGGTGCTAACGGGTAAAGAAGAAATGAAAGGTAATGTGGGTACTCACCTTCCACTATTTATCTTTGTTTCATGGTCCTGTTTTTGTAAAAATTCCACTCACCCTTAGAGATGTAGGTTTGTTTGCCTTTTTTTTTTTTTTTTTTAATGAGAGGGAACTTCTAAATTTTTTTCAAACAGGTAAGTGACTAGACTGAAAAAGACACTTTGATGGAAATCCATAAAATACTCACTCAGTGGTAAGGACTGGAAGTGAACTTATATGCCATGGGTCAGCTCAGGGAACATAAAGATAGTCTAGCTTCTGCTTAGATGAAGCACCTGGCGGGAGTAGGTGGCAGCACTTCGATTCACATACCTTCCAAACAGAGGCCCTGGCCTGCTTAATGCTTGGCTTTCTTCTGAAATGCAGTGGGCACCAGCTCTCTCCCTACCTTCCCTAGGCTGCTGTATATTTAGAATAATAAAGAGAAAAGATGAAAATTTAAAATTCTTTATTCTTCCTTTATCTCCGTACAACATAGCTCATCTTAAAAGTTTGGACAGGGGCGTCTGGGTGACTCAGTCGTTAAGTGTCTGCCTTCGGCTCAGGTCATAATCCCAGGGTCCTGGGATCGAGCCCGGCATCGGGCTCCCTGCTCAGTGGGAAGCCTGTTTCACCCTCTCCCACTCCCTCTGCTTGCGTTCCCTCTCTCACTGTGTCTCTCTCTGTCAAATAAATAAATAAAATCTTTAAAAATAAATAAATAAAGTTTGGACAAATATAGCCAACTTTAAGGATACATTAATAGAAAACAAAATAAAATCATCAGACATATGAGAAGATTCTCCTCTTAAAAAAATCATTTTATGCAATAGGAGCAAATGTCTTCTTATAAAAAAATTAGCTTCTTATTTAAAAAAAAATAGATAACTTTGGATAATTTCTAATTCATGATTTCAAGATGACCTAAGAGCAAAAGGAGGAATTTCTGAGATCAAGAAATAAATGCACAGGATGAAAACTTAAAAACCACAGTGGAAGACTTCCAGGTGAACCTGGCCGACTGAAGTAAGATCACTTTTTCCTCCCCCAATTCCTTAGGAAATTAACTAAAAATAAAGGGTCAAAGATTCGTGAGCAGCAACCAGTCAAGGAAGGAGTACAACACTCAACAAACGGTACTGAAGAAAACATGGAGAATATGAGTGTGAGGCAGTCCAGTGTGGCTGTAACCTGGCCCCCACCTCTCGGAGGCCCAGTGAAGGGAGAAGGTGAGTGAACTCAACCCTGAGGATCCTCACGAATAGTCTCCAATTTGTAAGGAGGATACTGACAAGTCAGGAACCTTCGTAAAAGCAAAGCAAAAACCCTAAAAGCAGATGCTCTACCCTGTCACCATGGAACCCTAGCAAAAGTTGGAGGGACTGGAGGACTTACCATCATCAGGGGCATGCTGCTGGGTTTGGCGGGGGTCAGCTGGCATCCACAGAAGTGGTGCTTCCCGCTGACCAGGAGGATGGGCCCTGGTGGATGATGTGTGCGTTCATTTCCCATAGCTGCTGTAGCAAATTACCACAAATGTAATGGCTTGAAACAACATAAATTTATTATATTACAGTTCTGGAGATCAGAAGTCTTAAGCTATTCAGAGTGAACCAAAAAGAAACAAACAAGCCAAAAAAAAAAAAAAAAAGAGGGGAAGAGATGAAAGCAATTAGAGAGAAGGAAACAGAGGAGACAATCCAACATAAGGATACTTGCTATCTCTATTAGAAAGCCCGAAAAATAAGACAGAGAAAAAAGAGTTCTCAGAGAACATTTTAAGTATCTCTAAAGTAAATGAAAAATTGAATCTTCGAATTGAAAAGACAAACCATACATACCAGTAAAAATAATACAGAATGATAAATAAGGGCATTTCTAGTTGATGAGGAGAGAATTCTTCAAGCAAACAGGCAGAAAATGAGACCTATATTTATATACATAACACACATATCCAATTAGTTGTTTATATAAGGTATAAATATCTTAAGTCTAAAATATCATGTAGTGGTTGAACCTTCTGGGAGCATCCATGTGAGGAAATAGAAGACTTCAGGGGTTGAAGTCACATGGTTTTACTTTTGATGGTTTGAGGGAATTTGTAGGTTAGCAAGTTTTTATAACTATGTAGTTATTTTTACCCGGAGAGGGACAGCCTGGCCTTGATAAGTGCATGTAATATGTGAACCCTCATATAACCTAGGTAGGTATGACTTTGGCCTACACAGATTCAGTTTAGCTTCAGCCTGGTTGGAACAAGGATTAGGTTATCAGGAACTACATCATTAACTCCAGGAAAATTTTACCTCAAAATAGGCAGAGCTTCAAGGTACAGGTGTTTTAGGCATTGGTTTATGGAACAATTTTCATTGCTTTTATTTGGTTTATCAGCAAAGTTAGCAACCATGACTTTAGACTGTAAAGATAGCTAGGCCCATTCTACTTGGGCTACAAAGCATTAACATGTGAGTTTCTCACCAGGCCGAGTTAGGAAGAACCAGATAAGCCCCTTTGTGTTTGAGCTGTTGCTAGGGCCAAGAGAAGTAATGGTGAATGAATTAGCCTTTTAGAATTACAAAGTTTGTTCAGAGGCTAAGGTGCTCTCAGGTTGGCCCTGGTTTTGTTTGTTTTGTCAGCTATGACCATGGTTTGAGATCTGGTTTCTTCTACAAAATTGTCCATCATTTAATTGTATTCATGAACAAATCAAAAAGAATAGAAACTTTTATTATAAAGAGACTATGGTATTCTTCTTGTGCTCCAGAAGAGAAATTTCTTCATGATATTATTACAAACATAAAAGTGAAGGAGAAAATAGAAAAGGTCTATATCCAGAATATTGTTTTTGGGAATAAATTATGCTTAGGAAATGAAGAAGATATTGCTTGAAAGGACTAGATGTGGATGCAGGTTTTGTGGGGAGTGAAGATATACAATTTGGGTGTTTTCTTTAAGAAAAAGAATACAACATTTTAAATGCAAAATTAATGACTCAACGTTCTTAACTTTAAATGGAATCCAACTTATCAGTCTTTTGTGTGTGTGTGTGTGTGTGTGTGTGTGTGTGTGTGTGTGTGTTTACATCTTGTTTAAAAAAATCCTTCCCAAATCCTAAGGTCATGAAGATACTCTTCTATATAATCTTCTTAGAGAATTCTAATTTTGCCTTTTATATTAGATTTTTAATCATCTAGTACTGATTTTTCTGTATGGTGTCAGGTAGAAATCTAACTTCATTTTTCCTCATTTGGATCGGTAACTTGTTTCAGCCCCATTTGTTTAAAAAGTCTTTCTTTTTCCCCACTGCCCTGTAGTGATAGATCTGTTTCTGGGCTCATATTCATTCCAGTAGTCTATTTCTTTATCCCTTAACAACTGTCACACTAGCTTAATTAGTATAGCTTTATTATAAATCTTGGTACATGGTAGAGCAAGTTCTCCCAACTTGTTCATTTTTAAGAGTATCTTTGATCTCCTGGGTATTTTGTATTTCCATACACCTTTTAGACCCAGTCTGTTAAGTTCCATGAAAATTTCTATTGGGATTTTTATTGGAATTGCATTGAGTATATTAATCATGTGGGCCAAACTGGCATATTTACAATATTAAGTCTTTTAAACCATGAACATTAAATATCTCTTGTTTATATAAGTGTGATGCTAATATTAGATAAAAACCAGTTTCTCTTTGGTATTTGCCAGATGATTTTTGACTTTGTGTTTTTTTTTTATAACTATTGATTGTTTTTCAACAATTCTGGAAAAATTCTCAGCCTCGTGGCTCTTCAAATACTGACTCTTCCCAGTTCTATTATTCCTCTCTGAAACTCCAATAACACATTCATTAGTCCTTCACAATCTAGCCTCTGTGGATCTTTACCTCCTTCATATTTTCCATCCTTTTATCTCCTTGAACTATATTCTGGAAATTTTCTTTGATACTATCTTCAAGTTCACTAGCTCTCTCTTGAACTATGTCTAATCTTTTCTTTAATATCAAATTTAAAATTTTTACTTTCAATCATATTTTTATTTTCTAGAATTTCTATTTGGCTCTTTTTTTTTCAAGTCTTCTTCATTGTTTTTATAGTCTCCTGTATATGTTAAAATCTTCTTTTTACCTCCTAAAGCATGTTAAACATATTTTTAATACATATTGAGAATGAATTTTCTATTTTTTGCTAATTCCAATATCTGAAGTCTTTACAGCTCTAATTATACTATATATTGTTTCTGCTGGCTTTTTCTCAGAACTTATTTTCTTGTGTTCTATGATTTTAACTATGACTTCATAAGTGGAAATTTTTTGAGACCTAGGCTAAACTTTTGTTCCCTCAGGAAGGATTTGTGCTTACTTATGCAGGTTGCTGGGAGGATTATCTTTCCAGGCTCGTTTTATTTTTACTTCACAACGATACTTATATTTATATTTTTGAAACAATCTCAAATTTACAGAAAGTTGCAAGAATTATACAAAGAACTACATCCCTGAACTCTTTGTAAGTAAGTTGCCAAGTGATGTTCCATTGCTTCCATTTACCCTAGTGTTGCCTACACACAAGGACATTCTCCCACATACACGTGATACAACCATCAAAATCAGGAGGTTAACATTGATATATTACTATTACCTAATCCTCAGGCCCCATTCATGTCTCAGCAATTGTCCCAATAATGTCTTTTATAACAGAAGAAGCCAGTCTAGAATCATGTGTCACATCTAGTTATCACACTAATTCTTCAGTCTCCTTCAATTAGGAAGGGTTTCTCAGTTTTTCTGGACTGTCTTGATCTTGACACTTTTAATCATGACAGAACAATTTACTTTGTAGAATGTCCCATAACTCGGATTTGTATGATGCGTCTTTGTGATTAAACAGAGAGAACACAACAAACCAGGCAAGATTCTGGGACTGAGAGTAGAAAATAAGCTCAAGAACTAAGGTAAAAGGTAAGCCCCGGCCCAAAAGAATGGTTTTCCTTAGAAATAACTAATATTAATGAGATGACTTTAAAAAAATTAGATGTTGAGGCTGAGTAGGGGGAAGTTGAAGCAGTCATGTCCCATGGCCTTACTCCATCGGGCCAAATATTAAAAGGCAAGTCTCCTTCCACTTCCTCTTCACCCACTCACTTCAACTCCCACCATTTCAGAGAAGAAATTCCCCTTTAAAGGTCACCAATGAACTTTTAATCATCAAATTCTAAGGTCACCAATGAACTTTTAATCATCAAATTCTATAGCCTTACTATTTATTCTCCTTGACCTTCCTGTAGAAAGTGATACAATGCACCACTTCCTTCATCATTTTTTTTCTTAAACAGCTAGACTGAGATATAACTCACATACCATACAATTCATTCAAATAAAGTATACAATCCAATAGCTCTTAATATGTTCACAGAGTTGTGTATTGATCATCACAATCCATTTTAGAACACTTCATTACCCCCAAAAGAAACCCTACTCTCTGGAGTTGTCACCCTCCAATCCTTCCACCTGCCCCCAAGGCCTAGGCGGTTGCTTTCTGCCTCTATGGATTTGTCTATTTTAGACAATTTATATAAATAAAATGTCATATGTAGTCCTTTGTGACTGGCTTAGCATGTTTTCAAGGTTCATTCATATTGTAATGTGTAACAGTCCATTCCTTTTTATGATTGAACAATATGCCATTGTACGGTTATACCACATGTGTTTATCCATCCATTAGTTGACGAACATTTGATTTGTTTCCATTTTTGGCTATTTTGAATAATGGTGCTTCTCTTCATCTTAAAACTCTTCCTTCTTGGGGCACCTGGGTGGTTCTGTCATTAATTGTCTGCCTTTAGCTCAGGTCATGATCCCAGGGTCCTGAGATCGAGCCTTGCATCAGGCTCCCTGCTCTGCGGGAAGCCTGTTTCTCCCTCTCCCACTCCCCCTGCTTGTGTTCCCTCTCTCGCTGTGTCTCTCTGTCAAATAAATAAATAAAATCTTAATAAAAAAAACAACTCTTCCTTCTTTTGGCTTTGACACCACTGTAGTCATAGTACTTTAATGGGTTTTCTGTTACCTTCTGAAGAAGGAAGGAAGAAAGGAAGAGGGAGAGAGAGAGAGAAAGAAAGGAAAGAAAGAAAGAAAGAAAGAAAGAAAGAAAGAAAGAAAGAAAGAAAGAAAGAAAGAAAAAGAAAGAAAGAAAGAAAGAAAGAAAGAAATGGATTTGTTTTTCTGTCTCAATCTCTGTTCATCTCTTTTTAAGATTTATTTGTTTATTTTTAGAGAGAGACCATGAGTAGGGGACAGGGCAGAGGGAGAGGGAGGAGGAGAGAAGCAGACTCCCCACTGAGCACAGAGCCTGATGGGGGGCTCAATCTCATGACCCATGAGATCATGACCTGAGCCAAAATCAAAAGTTAGACACTTAATGGACTGAGCCACCCAGGTGCCCCTCTGCCTATCTTTTTAACTGGAGGCAAACCATATCCAATGATTTCAAGCCTGGATTTTTATTTTTAAAAAAGATTTTATTTATTTATTTGTCAGAGAGAGAGAGACAGCACAAATAGGGGGAGCGGCAGGCAGAGGGAAAAGCAGGATCCCTGCTGAGCAAGGAGTCTGAAGCAGGACTTGATCCCAGGACCCTCGGATCATGACCTGAGCTGAAGGCAGACGCCCAACCAACTGAGCCAACCAGGCATCCCCAAGCCTGGATTTTTAGATGCTTTTTCATATGTTCCATTCCTGCCAAAGCCACCATTTTACATCTTTCAAGGACCAAATAAAACCTTCCAAATCTTCACAGTTCATCTCAAATGCCACCAAAAAATTTCCCATAACCTTTCTAAACTAAATTTATGCATGCTTTGTTTTTGCCACTCTTACAACACATGCTTTACATTATAAATATGTGTGTTTTCACTATGTTCCCTAACAAACTTAGTCTTTGAGGGCAGAAACTAAGTCTTATCTTGTAGCACCTTGCAAACTTGACTTATTCAAAGTAGGGCTAGATAAATATTTATTTGTGAATCTACTTGAAGGAAATCATGTGATTGATTCAATATTTCCAAAAACTATCTAGACAATTGGGGGAGAGCTATTTTGGAATTCTCAATTATCCGGAATCCAAAACTTCAGTTATTTTAATTAAGGGCATGACCAAGAGAAGATAATTATTGTTTTCTGACTAATTCCTATCATATTTTTTTAAAGGTTTTACTTGTTTATTTATTTGAGAAAGAGAGAGAAACCATGAGTGGTGGGAGGAGCAGAGGGAGAGGGACAAGCAGACTCCAGGCTGAGAGTGGAACCCGTCATGGGGCTCGATCCCAGGTTCCTGAAATTATGACCTGAGGTGAAATCAAGAATTAGATGCTCAAAAGACTGAGCCATGCAGGCACCCCTTCCTATCATATTTAGAGACAATGACTCATTTTTTTTAAATGTAGTGTCACTCAACACTAACTAAACCTCTAATTATTTATGTATTTGAAGTGAATGGTGAGTGACTTACAAGAGTAGTTGATTCACTAGAGTTAGGGGCATCATAGTTTCTAAAACAGTGCTAGATCATAGTCTTTTATATATAAAAAAAATAAACAACAACAAAACAATACAACCATATTCAATGGCAATGTAAGCTAACAGAATTCTGTGGTCAAATGAATAGAACTACCACCATGTTCACTGTATGTCTGGGTCTGTGGCAGAGGAAGACTTTTGAGACTGATGGTAAAATAGCGAAACAGACATCATTAGTCATTCTCAAAAGACTGCTAACTCTGCACCCTTTATGAAGCATTCTTGTCTATAAAATTTGGACATGAACATAATCAAGCCTCTAGATCCAACCACCAGTTTACAGGAAATGCAGGAGATAGGGAAACAACTTAAATAACACCATGAATCCAGAACAACAGCTGAATCCAGAATGTAGATAATTCTATAACACAAATAACATCTTTGTTTTTAACAAGTCAGTGGCATAAAGTAAAAAAATACAAGAAATTGGGGACTATTTTAAAAAAAAGAAACTTCAGAGATATTATAAATGCAGTATGTGGGTCTTGTCTGAATCCTTATTCCAACAAATTGACTAAAAACAGTCACTTTAAGATAATCAAGGACATTTGCATATTGACCAGATTATAGATGATATTAAGGAATCACTCTTAATCCCATTAGGTGTACTAATGGTATGGGGGTAAGTTAGAGATGCATGCTAAAGTATTTACATGTAACAGAACAGAACGTGTTGAGCAATGGGTAAAAGGAGTTTGACAAACTGTTGACATGTGTTGAACAGTGGGTAATGGGTACATTGGGTTTGCTAGAATTCTCCTTTTCCTTCTGTGTATGTTTGAAGATTTTCATAATAAAAAGATTTTTTTAAAAGATTTTATTTATTGATTTGAGAGAGAGAGAATGAGAGATAGAGAGCACAAGAGGGAAGAGGGTCAGAGGGAGAAGCAGACTCCCTGCTGAGCAGGGAGCCCGATCGTGGGACTCGATGCCGGGGGCTCCAGGATCATGACCTGAGCCGAAGGCAGTTGCTTAACCAACTGAGCCACCCAGGCGCCCATAATAAAAAGATTTTTAAAAAATTCCTAATACAGCAGATGTGGATTTAATGAAGGTATGCCATGTACTTTCTATAGGTAAGGCCCTGTACTAGGTGTAACACTTTTATAAGTTATACCTTACGTAATTCTCAGTATAACCCTGAGAGAGGTATTCCTCTCCTGATTTTATATATGAGGAAGCAGAGGCTCAGAGAGAGTAAAGAATGACTAGGCCTCCCAGGGTTGGTAAACAGCAGATTCAGAATGCAAATCCAGATCCTTTGACTGCAAATCCAAAACTCTCATAGCTAAAAACACAGCTACTTCATTATCTTATCAATTATTTTAACATGAGTTTTAGCCACATAAATTAAACTGATTATTATTTTATGTTATTTATCTTTTAAAAAGATTTTATTTATTTATTTGAGAGAGAGAGAGAGAACAGGAGCAGAGGGAGAGGGATAAGCAGACTCCCCGCTAAGCAGGGAACCCTACGCAGGGCTCAATCACAGCATCCTGAGATCATGACCTGAGCTGAAGGCAGATGCTTAACAAACTGAGGCACCCAGGCACCCCTCTTTTATGTTATTTGTGATGGGAAGACAGAGCACAAGAGAAGATTATGGAAAAATTCAAAAGTTCATTTTTTTCTTATAAGGGAATAAATTATTTTTTGTAGAAATTTTATCTTATTTTATTTTTTAAGATTTTATTTATTTATTTGACGGAGAGACAGAGAGAGCACGCACACGAGCCGGGGGAGGAGCAGAGGCAGAGGAAGAAGCAGACTCCCCACAGAGCAGGGAGCCTGACCGGACACAGGGTTCAATCCAGGACCCTGGGATCATGACCTGAGCCCAAGGCAGACGTTTAACTGACTGAGCCACCCAGGTGCCCCTAAGGGCATAAAATCTTAAAAAGAAGGTGAGGAAGTGTTGAGTATTACTGATCAAAGGGGAAATCTACTTTAGGAGAAGGAGAACAAGAAGGAGAGACAGCAATGCATTCTGGGAAAACGGGAAATCAGACAAGATAGTTCTGGAGATCGCTAATACTGAACCTGCACTGACTCTATTCCCCATTGCCCTGGTTGTGCCTCCCTCTCCTTACGTTAATGATATTTTATTGAGAAAAACCACTTGCAAATGAGCAACAGCATGATTAGAGCTATTTGATCATGCCCATCCATGCAGGAGCATGTCCCTCCACTTCAACCTCCCAGTGCCTCCAGGGCTGACTGATCGAGGAGATGTGAACCTAGTTTTCTTGCCCTGTCAACACATGCTTAGCTGCTCCCTCCAACCTCCCTCCTTTCTTTCTGTTCCAGTCTTCTACTGACTGCCTCCTTGAAAAAGCCAAGTTACAGCTATTTTCAAGTTCAATGGTCAAAAACTTTTGAAGTAAACCCAGGGAAAATACTCTGATTGATCTTGGCATTTTCCGGCAGATCCACTTTCTGGGTCCCACCTGGTTCTATATCATGTAAGTAAAACAGCACCTGGCAGGTCAATGACAAGTCAAAGAGGGGGCTCTCGAGTGTGGCTTTACTTCTCACTTACCCTCCCAGCAATCCAGCTGAATGCCCAAAAGGATTTTTTACAAGCTGTCACACTTCAACCAGCAGTCTATGCAGGTCTCCAACTGCCAGGGACAATATCTTTGGGAAATTCTGGGGATTTACATAATACTAGTAAGAGACCACAGCTCCTACCCAGTAGACAGGTTAACATAAAATAATCTAAATAGACACGCGATGCCTCCCCATCCCTGTCCCATTCCCATGTTGAAGTCCTAACCAACCTCCCCCTCAGAGTGTAACCATATTTGGAGATAAGGCCTTTTTAGAGTTGATAAAGTTAAAATGAGAAACTAATCTAATCCGACTGGTGTCCTTATAAGAAGAGGAAATTTGGACACACAAAGACATACCGGAGATGTGCTCACATGGAGAGAAGACCATATGAAGAGGCAGCCAGTGGGCAGCTACCTTCAAGCCAGGGAGAGAGACTTCAGAAAAAAAGCAAACCTCCTGGCACCTTGATCTTGGACTTCAGCCTCCAGAACTGTGAGAAAATACATTTCTATGTGTAAGCCATCCAGTCGATGGCATTTTGTTATGGTAGCCCTAGTAAACTAAAGCAGGTCATCACCTATTGTTTGTGTCTAGATACCATGATGACTGAAGAGAGAGAATTTTTTCAAGTTCCAGACAATGGGATTCTTAAATTTTGGTTGGAAAATTAGACTGTGACAGAAAAAAAAACACAAAAAACCCAGCTATCTACATATTCACACATAACCACACATATATGTGTGCTACTAAATTGCTAAACTGATTCCATACTGATTCCTTTGGGTTCCTGAAATTGTAATAATAATAATAATAATAATAATAATAATAATAATGTTTAAATAGCATTTACTATGTTCCAGGCAATGTTCTAAGAACTTTATTTACATTAATTCATTTAACCCTGACCGCAAACTCACACAATACACACTGTTATTATCTACATTTTGAAGGTGAAGTAAATTAAGGCACAAGGAGGTTAAATAATTCCTCAAGGTCACAGAACTAACAAGGGGCAGAATTAGGATCTGAATCCAAACAGTTGGCTCCAGTTTTTAAGCACCAGAACTGTCCGCAAATTCTCACAATGGAATGGAAAGTGACTGAGTGCTCACACAGGGCTAGTGAAAACCACCCCATACTAAAAGGCTTAGCAGCCCAGATCTGAACATCCAGCCATATGGGTACAACCTGTCAGTTTGTCACTGTGTGGATAAATACAAATTAAGTGATCATAACCGACAAAAGCAGTTTGCCTTTCTTTGACAGCCGTTGTAAAGATGTGACCTCAGTCCATACTTTCTGGTACACAGTGAAAAGCATTTTGAATTTGAAAACTAAAGTACCTAGCGTCAGGGCTCTACTTTATCACTGAGAGCCATTTAACCTTGAGCATGTCGCCTAACTTAGGATCAGGAAAGTTTTCCTAACTATAAAGTAGAGATAAAATACTACTTTGCGGACTTAGTGCGAGGATTGAGTAAGGTCATGAATATGAAATATCCTAGCAGAAAGAAATTGCTCAATAGGGGAATTCTGAAAAAGTTGAAACAAAAATTGTTAACAAAATGAATATAATTGCACAACAGTTCACGTAAGATATTATTGCCAACTACTTCTAGATAAATTTAGAGATGAGTCTAATATTTAGCAGGAAGAATGAAGCATAAATGAAGTGCAAGAAAAATTTTAATTCGTTTTATTTTTGGCCTGTATTGCTTTTCTAAATATCTCTGAGATTTTACATTCTACAATATATACTTGGCAACTGGCAATGGTTAAAGAGTCTTTCTTTAAGCGGTGAATGATATTATACAGTGAACACTATATGACCAAATCATATGTATTAAAAAACACATCGTTACTCCTTAAGTATTCACAGTCATCTTTGGTGTCAAAATAGTACTCAATAGTATAAATCATTTAAGTCTCTGGATTATCATTATTTCACTCATCTATATTGAAAAAGCCAGGCTCTCCCTTCCTAACACTTGAGATCCTCTTTCCCCTAAACATGTCCTCCCATGCCCCCTACAGACCTCCAGGACTAACGTCTCCTCTGAACCCAGATGCCCATGAGCTAGAGGCAACAGAAGCTCTAGATTATAAGACAGGCACCATGACCTTCATACTTGGAGAGAAAGCAAGGAGAAGATACCAGCTAGGAGGAGTGTGCTATTGACCACCAGACATCATTAGGAAGGAATGAGGGCACCATGAAAATACACTCTAAAAGTCTAGGATCTGGATATAAGAAAGGAGAGAAAACGGCTGGGATCAGGGAGAGTGAAAGAGAATCAGTTCAAGCATTTTGCTGTCTTACTGACTGTCGCCATTTGGGTACATAGAGAGCTCCTAAACCGAACTAAAATTAAGAAAGTTTGCCTAGAAGATCGAAAATGCTTTCCTGCCCTACCATTCCCTCTGGACTGGATAACTGTAACAGCCACCTACCTGTTTCCCCAGCCTCTAAACCACCCCTTCCCCATTATCCTATTTCCATATCACAGCAGGGCTATCTTTCTAATTTGCAATTCTTAACGCCACCTCCTTGATGAAAACACCTTCACTGGCTTAAAACCCAAGTGGCTTAAAATTATAATAATCATTTATTGTCTCTCAGGGTCACTGTGGATAGAAATTCAGGCAGAATATAGCAGGGATGATTTGTTACTGCTTTGCAACGTCTGGGGCCCTGCCAGAAGACTCACTGTCCAGAGTCATCTGAAGGCCCGTTCATCCCACATCTGGGGCCTAGCTGAGACCAGGAGCCAGAACACCCACACTTGGCTTCTCCATTTGACCTGGCCTTCCTCACACATGCTGACTTCTAAAGACAAGGGTCCAGAAAGAGAGGGAGGGAGGCAGGAGGAGAGGGAAAGAAGGAGGGAGGGAAGGCGGGTGGGGTGGAAGCCACCTTGTCTTCTATGAACTAGCCTTAGAAACCTTGGAAGTCATGCAACATCACTCCTGCCACATGCTATTGGTCAGGGAGGTTTTAAAGGTAGCCCAGGTTCTAGGAGAGGGAACTGAGATCTCACCTCTGGCTGGTGGATTGTAGATCCTGTGGGATGGGATATGTATTGGTGAAGTCATTTTGAAAAATGGTATCACTTGAAAAATACAGTCTTCCACATGGTAGACCCTTCACCTCCCACCTACCCTTTCAGCACCACTTCCTTCTACTCCTTGCCACTCACTCTACACTTTCCATACTGACCTTCTGTTTTGCTTAGTTTTTTCCTTTGAACATGACAAACCTTTCCACGCTACTGTACCCTTGTGTATGCTGTTCCTTATCCTCGGAATGTCCTTCCTTCTCCACGTTAACTCCCTAGTAAAAACCTTCCCACGCTTCAAGTCCAAATTCAAGTGTTGCATCTCTGCCCAGCCTTCTTGTCTCAGCCCAGGGAGGGTTAATTATTCTATTCCCTAGGATCCTATGTGTGTTAAACATTTCTCTGTCTTACAGTATTATCTGGCTGACTTTTCATCCTCACCAGACTGTGAGCAAGTCAAAGAAGAAGACCAAGCCCTGGTATTTATTATTATTATTTGCATATTTCCCTGTTCTCTTCTGGTTGCCAAATATTCAAGACGGGGCTTACATAACACAAAGTCCCCACTCATTAAATGTAAGTTGAATGGCTGAAGAAAACTTTAAGGCAAACTTTGGAAAAAAATACCATTTCAAGGGCAAGGTGGCTTCCTTGACCTTCTGGTACGATTATTTTTTTCTACTTCTACTGCTGCCTGAAATAATTTACTTTTTTCACCTTAGAGAGAGAAAGAGAGAGAAAGCTGGATAGTACAAATGCCTGGTGAAAGCAAAACACTGCCTCAGTCAAAGTATGGCTGATGACAACACAGCCATTTCTATGTATCTAGAGAAGAAAGGGTTGAGAACAAGTACTCACCGACAGGATGAAGAGGTGAGGACACTAACAAGCCAGGAAAGAGAGCAAAAAGGGAAGGCTAGAAACACTAGCGACAAATTCTGCTGCACTCGTAATTCTGCCTTCAGTCAACTCTTGCTCACTTTCAGCTGTCTCTGAACAACTAAAAGCTGGGGGCAAGAGTATCATGTGTTCAGCCTCTCTCCTGCTCTTCTTCTCCCTTCTCCAGCTCTTCTACTCTCTCTCTCCTGCTCTTCTACTCCCTTCTCCAGCCCCTGCTGCCCAAGAGTTGCTGCTGTTGTGGCTCCACAGGGCTGATGGCAGTGGGAGATCCTACCTGCCAGCACTGCACACTCCCAGGAGCCTCAAGGTGGACCTTAGATTAGGCTCTGGCATGGGCACTTTGGTGACATGATAATGAGGTGTGCAGTGTCATTCACAACTCTCCTGCTTTTGTGCCCCTCCATTCTGGAATATGGCCTATCCTCATCTGTTGTAAAAGGTGGTGGGCTCTTTCACTGTTTCCCCAAACCACCTGAAGATAAGAATGCTCTGGGAGAGTTCCAATTGTTCAAACACTTCCCCCCCACTCCCCCCCCCCCCCGCACACACACTCACACACACACTCCTGGACCCTTCCTTGGGAGACCCATCCAGTGGGCCTGGGAGGACCCTGTGAGTCTAATATATACATGAGTGATGAGGGGAGTTTAGGAAAGCACAGACGAGATGACCTCAAGTTCTCTTGTTAGGTTTGAATACTTCTCTCACACATGGTTATACAGTTAACCCTCCAAAGTCACAACTCTGATCAGCTAAGGCCACATCAAGGAGTTTGGGCTTCATCCCGTAGGCACTGGAAAGCCACTATGCAGAAGAGTGGCATGATCATAGTTGAGATGTCGAAAGGCTACTCTATCAGCTGCGTGAAGGGTGGTACAAGACCAGAAGCAGTAAGGACAAAATTATTATACAAGCCCAGACATCCTCTTCTCCTATCAGTGGCTCAGAGCATTCCCGCTTCCCACATCCTACAGGAAATGGCCTGGTATCACTTAACTTTAACTGAAATTCATTCTTGTCAGTGTAGAACTTTGCAGAGCTACCTATGCTATTCAAGAGATGGGGAGGAGCAGGACCAAAGCAGTAGCCTAGAGGTGGAGAGAAAGGGCAGGAGAATGGTACTGAGCTAGAAGATACAGAAATTGGTGAGGAGAGGGTTAACACAGAGACCAGCCTGTACCTTGCAAGGTATTGCAGTCAGTGAGGTGGGAGTGACTCTTACCCCCTTCTTAGCAACACCTCCAGGCATCAAACAACCCTTTCCTTTTCATCACCTTGCCTCCCCCTCCTGTGACCCTAGGAATTTCCCTCATATCGGGGAATCCTTTGATTTGTGCATAGACCTTTTGGACTTTTTCTGCTTTTGCCTAGCTATTTACAATATTGAATGGCAATAACTTATACATCACACTTCTCTAGGATTTGCTATCATCTATCTAACCCAGGTAATATCCTCATGTAAAGAGGTGTGTGTGTGTGAGAGAGAGAGAGAGAGAGAGGAGAGAGAGGAGAGAGAGAGAGAGACAGAGACAGAGAGACAAAGAAAGAGGTATTTTACTTTAGCTCCCTGTTCTACTAAATTGATTTCTTAGCTTATCATCTAGGTATGTCCTTACCATTGGTCTACAGATACGTTACACTTTTCCAAAATTTGCTCCAGTCTTTCTGCCACCATACTAGTCTTGCCTATGTGCCCTACCAGGTAGGTACAGCTCAAATGCCATCTTCTGGTTCCCATGGAGACGTAACAACTTTCTCTTCTGATCTCTGTAGCACTGCACACCTGTTAGAGCACCACTACGCTCCCTGCTGGCTTGAACACAGAGCTTTCATCTGAGTCAACAGCTTATGCATCTTTATAGCCCTGAGTTCCTAACAGTGCTGTAGTTATTTTTGTTGGATTATGAATATGTAATGTAATAATCATATTTCACATATACCATAACTTGTTTAGCTCAACCATTTCCTAATTCTCTATTCCACAGTTTTGAAAGTGGCTTTGTAACATAGAAAATTGGCATTGTTTTCCTTTGTAGTTTAAATAAAATGCTGACCTCCTAATACAAACTTCGACACTTTCTCATGAGGATATACTCACGTTAGCATAAACATTTTCTCCTGGGGGAAGCAGGCGACGTTCAATGGCTAAAGCATAGTGAGTAAGGGAATATTCACAAATAGAATATAGGTTTCTTGAATCCTGATCCAGTGCCCTTTCCATATTGAAATAAGGTAGAAACAAACAAAAATTTATCATGAAAATAAACACCAAAATTAAAAGCTTTTGCACAGCAAAGGAAACCATCAATGAAACAACAATGCAACCAAACAAATGGGAGAAGATATTTGCAAATGATATATCCAAAAGGGATTACTATACAGAATACATAAAGAATTTATAAAACTCAACACCAAAAAACTACCAAATAATCTGATTTTAAAATGGGCAGAGGATTTGAATAGACATTTTTCCAAAGAAGACATAAAGATGGCCAACAGACAAATGTAAAGATGCTCAATGTCACTAATCAACAAGGAAATGTAAATCAAAACCACAATGAAATATCACTGCACATTTGTAGTATGGTTAATATTGGTTTTGATGAATGGTTAATATTAAAAAGACAAGAAATAACAAATGTTGACAAGGACATGGAAAATAGGGAACCTTTTTGCACTGCTGGTGGGAATGTAAATTGATACAACCAGTATGGAAAACAGGATGGAGGTTCCTCAAAAGATTAAAAATAGAAATACCATATGAAATATGGTAAATTAAATAAGACAGAAAAGACAAATACCATATAATTTTACTTACATGTGGAATCTAAAAAACAAGAATAAACAACAACAGCAACACACCAACAGACTCAAATACAAAGAACAAACTGATGGTTACTGGAGGGTGATTGGTAGGGGGGTAGGAGAAATAAGTGATGGGGATTAAGAGATAAAAGCTTCCAGTTATAAAATAAATAAGTAACGGAGATGAGAAGTACAGCATGGGGAATACAGAAAAAAAGAAAAAAATTATCATGAGATAGAGAAAACTTCAGTAACGATTCAATCTGTTAACAATGCATGAAAACCACTTATGACTAAAAAGGCAGTTAACATATTCAGTTCAAATTCAAACAATGTTTCTGGAAATACTTTACATGCTTTTTCAGAGAAAACTTTAAAAATATGCAAGGGCATTGTCACAGGATAGTCAACAAAAGAAAACAGTTGTCAATTAGCCGAGGGTCTCTGAGAAGTCATGGGGAATCAGGACACAAAAAAACATCAATCTCTTAAGCCCCTAGAGAAAAGCAGCTCCTTATATGTGGGCCCACCCCTAACATAAGTGGGGTCCAGATAAAGAGGACAAATGGAGACCCAAATACCATACGTTTAAATATTTTATAATTTTTAACTAAACTTACCAATTGTTAAATATATTGTTCTTTTCTGCTTTAACAAATAGAACTTCATGATGGCAACATTATCAAATATGTAAAGCTATACTTTTTATTTGACTGAGTGTCAGCAAAATATCAAGACTACTGAATTTCATTACCAGTAGCTCTCTAGATCCAACCATGTTGTCACAAATGGCAAGATCTCGTTCTTTTTTATGGCTGGGTAATATTCCATTGTATATATACTACATATTCTTTATCCATTCATCTATTGATAGGTACTTGGGTTGTTTCCATATCTTGGCTATTATAATTAATACTGCAGTAAACATAGACATATTGTACATGTCTTAGTGTTCTGTTGACATGCCAGCAATGTGTGGGTAACTAATGAAATAAAGACTTGCATGGTTTTAAATTATCTATGTATTCCACAGAATGCAAAATGCAGCTTTTGCCCTTTGTTTCATCAAAATCACTATATTGTTATAACCAAGATTTTCACATAATTTGATGATATTGATAGTAATGATTTAAAGTTTAAGAAGGAATTATATTTGAAGTATACAATTTTTTTTTAAAGATTTTATTTATTTGACAGAGACAGAGACAGCGAGAGAGGGAACACAAGCAGGGGGAGTGGGAGAGGGAGAAGCAGGTTTCCCGCCGAGCAGGGAGCCTGACGCAGGGCTCGATCCCAGGATCCTGGGACCATGACCTGAGCCGAAGGCAGCCGCTTAATGACTAAGCCACCCAGGTGCTCCTGAAGTGTACAAATTTGACTATATTTCATCAGACATATGAGTTAAATAAAAATAGAAACAGTAAAATATTTCTCATAGATACTTTCAAAAGTTATTTTTTCTAAACTATTTAAAATTTTCTATTAAAAAGGCAAAATAGAAATTAATGAGTATCAAACTTAAATAAAATTACCCAGTTTTTAAAAATATAATTACATCTCATAAAATATTTTTATTAAAATAAAACTATTAGACTCAACATAATAAAGGCCATATATGAAAAACCCACAGCTAACATCGTACTCAATGGGGAAAAACTGAGAGCTTTTTCTGTAAGGTCAGGAACAAGACAAAGATGTCCATTCTCACCATTTTATTCAACATAGTACTGGAAGTCCTAGCCACAGCAATCAGACAACAAAAATAAATAAAAGG